ATTTAATTCCAGTTTCACACAGTAAACATGATCCAAACTGTGGTAATGATTGTCTAATGAAAAAAAACATGGCATATTGATCAGAGCACTACTAAAGTATGATATTAACATCCTCTGTGTCACTTGCACTTGCATCTGCATACTCATTGAAATCCCCCATGCCAATCCTAGTCCATTGCTCCAACATGTCTTCAAGCTCTTCGTGATGCTCCAGAACATCAAACAGGGTGTCAATTGATTTCCATAAGTTGACAAAGTGGGCCCTACATTGCTCAGTGGTTAATTCAGGAACCTTGTTGGTGCCAGTCTCATGAAAGCCAGAGATAACACCCTTCAACTGTCAAACTATCAGCGATGAAAAAATAAAGAATTGTAAGCATACCACTGCTGCTACAAGAAGCATTGCATTAATGGGGATTGTTTGGTGGAATTTGTCTGTGTTCTTTGATGCTTTCTTACTGTTGCTGTAGTAGAATTTGAGACAAGCATCCTTGAGAGCCTGCACTGTGAAGTTCTTGAAATTTCCCTGCAAAAATTAATTTTGAACGATGCTATGACTAGGAATCACAACCTACACCAGACAAGTCAGGGAGCCAGAGGTAGTCACCACTCTTGAGGAGCCTAGTGGTGGCTGCAGTGACCTGCCTTTGACATTCCTCCTTTCACATTGTGGAGTCCTGCAGGAAGATATTGTATGCCCTTTTGGCAATAGAGATGATAATTTCTCAAGTTCTGTGTGAAATATAAAGAGATCATTGCAAAGCTCATGGACATGGTATCAGTGAGCACATGAGCCATCAATGAACAAAGAATGTACCAGCTGGCACATCTGTGTTCTGTACTCCGGAAAGTAGCCTTGCAAATGGTGAGAAGGGTAGATGGTGGAGTAGGGAGAACATACCTCTCTCGAGTTTAATCTTCTTCTCATGGTATGTCCATAGCACAGTGTCCAAGACTTCTCTTGCAAGGTTAAGGGCTTCCTGGGATTCCAGAACTGGAGTAGCTAGAACAGCCTGCAACTGCATCTCTAACTTGGCCATCTGCAGGAATGTTTGCCAAGTGGGCGGATAAAATCCGAGCTTCAAGGGATCCTCTTGGTTTGTCTTGACCTTTTGTTTGCTGTTGCTGGATTGATGAGCATCTTCAGGTGTAGAGGTATGAGAATGTTCATGGCTTGAAGGTAGAATAGGGTCAGATGGAGAACATGGTGGAGAGCTCCTACGAGATGTGGGCTGTGTATGACTGCGACTTGAGGAAGTGATTGGTCAAGATGGGTGTCAAAGAGGAGACTGCATACGTGAGGATTAAGTGCATACATATCTGTCTTGCTGAGATGATTGTCGACATAGAGACTTTGAATGAGAGGGATGTGAGTGAAGTGTAGGTGAGCATCTATGAACTGCTTGAACAGTAGAAGCTCCTCCAGGCAGCTTAAAAGTGCATGCCTGTTCCTTTCCCTTCCCCTTCAACAGATAGGTTGGTGAAGGAGCTTTTCACTGCCCATTCTTTGCATGGTGGCACTTGAGAACATTGTAAGCCTTGAGTACAAATAATTAATGCAAGAATAGAGAAGAAAAAATGTAGATACTTCATCCTGCTCCAGGTCTATGAGCTTGTCATTCAAGGCTACTGGTTCAACACCTCCTTGAGCTTCATTGTCAGGACAAGGTCAATCCATATTTTTGTTGAAATCCATTCCATCATCTGCATCATCCATTCACTGGTGCATGTGCTGACCAGCATATCTGTCCCTGCAATGAGAACATAATATCAGGAATAACACAATTGATAGACCAAAGAACACTTACATCAGCATGTTACTGTCAGGATCATCATCATGGTCAGCATTGTCATCAGAAGTATCACCTTCATAAGAGCTTGGTGCAAACTCCCTGTAATCCTCCTTATTCTGCCTCTCCTTCTCACAACCACTATCACGTTCTGTAGACTCCCTCTCATGACCTGCATCTCACTGACCCATGTTCCTTCCAGCCATTTTGTGACCATTAGACCAAGGTTCCTTGAATCCGAACCTTTCAGAAGAGTGAGCCACATATTGATTCAGATGGGAAGTGGGAGCCTGAGAATGCTGGCTATTTTCTATCATTCTGTGTTCATTCAGGGTTTTCTTAGCAGTGCTGCGAGGTTTTGCAGGAGGCTGAAAAAATTAGCTTGAACATAATTTTAAAAGATTCACATTACATTTTTTTTCTTTCCTTTCTGAAGCTGCAAAGGAGCCATAGGATTCTCTTCTGAGCTGCTGATTTGAAGGTCATTGCCCTTCAGCCCCTTCCTTCTTGGGGCAGCAACTGTTTCTCCAACTCTTTGCAGCTGTGCTGCATGACTACCAATACCACAGTTAGGTCTTGAGCTTTGGCGAGCAGGTGCCTCTAGATCTGGAGAAGAATGTCTGGGCTTCTTCCTTGGAGGCATGGTACCAGATGACCTGAATATGTATGAAGGTAGCTCTAAGTTATACTGATGAACATGACATAATCCATGTTACATAATCATAATTGCATCTGAGTACATACTAAAGGTAGCATGAAAGAAAGATAAACACATAGGAAGATGTAGAAGTGAGGTCAGATGAAGGATATTCTAAGAAGAGGCATCAGAATTGCATGAGCTCATGCCAGTATCATTAGGTCTGGCCTGTGCTGAGGTGTAATGAACAACATAGGAAAGGTCCTGCCATGGGTTGAATGATGGAGGGAGCCCTGGTATGATGAGTACTTGGGGCACTTGGAGGAGCCACTGGAAGGGGTGGAGAGAGCAATGGGCTTGGTTCTTCATTGTTGAGTTTCATGATGAATTTGGCAAGCATTTGAAAAATGTGCTCATGAATGATGGCTCCTTCAAGATTGGACTCTGTGCGATGAATTCAAGTGCACCATTCATTGATAATGGGCTTGAATTCTGTGAAGTACTCTGATACCCTGTCCATCAGAATATCATCTTTGGACATGGCTCCCTTCTTTGCCAAAAAGGTGGCAAGCAAACTGCTTGTAGTGCCCAAATTTTCATAGGCATCTGCCCATGGCATAGTCATCTTATCCCAAGTTGGAGCGAGTGTACCATGTGCCCTGCCATATTTGGAAATGAATTCAAAAAAAATGTAAAAAGGGACTTGAGGTTGTCACTGGAGTTGTGCTCAACCAGTTCCAGCTGAGTGATGCTGTTGGTGTTGCTATTGCTCTTTTTTGTGTCAATGGTCGTCTTTGACTTCTTGACAATGTCAGTGTTCTTGGACATTTTTTTCAAGATGTGCATACAGTGGCTCAAAAAACTGTCCACATGTTTTGACATTTTTCACTATCTATGATATTGTGTGGGAACGAACAAATGCCTCAAGGACATGCTTATACCACATTGTAGTATGGCTTCAGGGCTTTCATTTGAGCCCTACACCATGGGAATCGGTGGAGATATGGTGGAGACATAAGGCTTATAAAATGATGACTCATGTGGACAGTTTTTTGAGTGTATATTAAAACTATATAAATCATTATTTATGACACCACAAAAATCATGCCACTATTATATAAATTATGAAGTGGTGTCATTATGTTATTTTATGACTATATCTAACTATATAAACCAGAATATCTCATGTATCATAGTCATAATTACCATGAAAGCCATCTCCTCTGCTCAATCAAAGAGATAATATCCTCTCTCTGTCTTATGCTGGCCTCTCTGCTCGCCAAATTTCCTCTAGAACTGGAGTATGCAAGTCCACTGTGGCCAAGTTTATCAAAGAAAGCTACCCAGACAAGGAAAACTCTTGTGGAGGACGTCCATCCAAGCTTACCTCTACTGACAAAAGGGCTATTATCCAACATATCACTACAGGAAAGGCTGATAATGCTGTCCAAGCCACCCATTATATCAATTCCACCATCACTACCCCTGTCTCTTCACAGACTGTGAGGAATGTTCTCAAGGCAGCTCATCTCAAGGCAGTAACAAAGAAGAAAAAGCCTCTTCTCTCCATCAAACATAGGCAGAGAAGACTAGCCTTTGCCTTAGCTCATCAACACTGGACTGTAGAGGACTGGAAGCATGAAGCATGTTATATGGTCAGATGAGACCAAAATCAATAGGATTGGGTCAGATGGGAAGGTATATGTATGGAAAAAGAAGGGAGATGGCCTAACAGACAGAGAGGTCAATGGGACTGTCAAGTTTGGAGGAGGTTCTTTAATGGTATGGGGCTGTATGGGATGGAATGGTGTGGGAATGCTTGCTGAAGTTGAGGGGAAGATGAATGCTGAGCAGTATGTGGACATTTTTTTTTTTAAATGACCACTTGCTGCCTAGCTTGGCAGAATCAGGGATTGATGAAGAAGATATCATTTTCCAACAGGATAATGATCCCAAGCACACATCCAGAAGAGCTAAGGAATGGTTTGAAGAACATAACATCAATGTTCTTGACTGGCCAGCACAGTCTCCTGATGTCAATGTCATTGAACATCTCTGGGGAACACTCAAGAAAAAGCTTCAAGCCTATGAAAACCCCCCTAAAGGAGTATGGGAGCTTTGGGAGAGAGTAGCAGTGGAATGGGGGAAGATCACAGCTGAGGATTGCCAGAAATTAATTGAGAGTATGCCTAGAAGGATAGAGGCAGTAATTAAAGCCAAGGGAGGTCATACAAAATACTAGAATACCTGGTTATTATTGTAAAATACTTGAGTCAAAAAACTGTCTGCATGAGTCACCATTTTGTGAGCCTTGTATCTCCACCATATCTCCACCGATTCCCACGGTGTAGGGCTCAAATGAAAGCCTTGAAGCCATACTACAATGTGGTATAACCATGTCCTTGAGGCATTTGTTCGTTCTCACACAATATCATATATAGTGAAAAATGTCAAAACATGCAGACAGTTTTTTGAGCCACTGTAGGTCACTGCAATATGTGGTTCACAATACCCCAGAGCACAATGGCATTGCAGAGCAACTGAATCACAGATTGCTAGAATGAGTCTAAGCTATGATGCACACAAGTGGACTGCCAAAGTTCCTGTGGGGAGAAGTGATCATCCACACTATTTGGTTGAAGAACAGACATTCAACACACTCACTAGATAACAAGACTCCCTTTGAGATGCTCTTCAAGAAGAAACTGGACCCATCAAACCTACCAGTATGGGGCTGCCAAGTCTGAGTGCATGATACATCAGGCTCAAAGCTCAACATGTGAGCAAGAGACAGCCACTGGATTGGCTTTGACTCTAACAGCAATGGTCACTGGATCTACTGGGAGGATACCTGCAGAGTAAGAGTTGAGCACAGTGTAAGGTTTGATGAAAGAGAAGTTTACATACCAGTTAGCACACTGCTTGTGGGAGAGCAGCAACCATAAGAGGATTAAGTCAACCAAGGCAATCAGCACACTAACACTTTGTAACCACCACAAACGCCTAAGAGATGGTGAAGGTACTCACAATAGTCACACTGGCTCACTAACACTACCACCTGGTATACAGGCAGGCTTGAGCAAGACTGGGAATCTTGCAAGAGAGCTAGGCATGTTGGGAGATGATGGTCAGCTGGATGAGGATGATAAAGAAATTTTCACTATGGTTGCTGGAGTAGCGGAGGTTGAGGGGAGTGATCCCACCAGTGATGATGAAGCACACAAATACCACAACTGGCCCAAATGGGATAAGGCAATGAACAAGGAGTTAAGAAGCCTGGAAGATACCAAGACTTGGATGATAGTCAAATGTCCCAAAGATGCCAACATTGTCAGTGTTAAGAACCATGTTGCTCAAGGGAGAGAGAGACTGACTCAGAGGGGCTTGGCCTCAGCTCATATGCTATGCCCCTTACCCGAGTATGTGCCCTTCATTTCATATGAGGTCTGATGATGGTCTGATGAAGTCCAGAGGACTTCCAGAGGCTGGCTACTCTGGTGGAGTGCTGGAGGACTTCTGGAGGAGCACAGGAAATGTCCAGAGGAGTGAGGGAGAGTTCTGGAGAAATGCAGGAAGTGCTCAGAAGAGTTCCCACTGCAAGGTAATACTTCTACAGGAAACAGGATGGAAGGATAGGAGGTCCAAAGGTCCAGAGGACAGGAGGACAGGAGGATGGAGGACAGAGGGGCAGGATGTCCAGAGGTATGAAGGACGGGATGTCCGAAGGACAGGACAATAAGACATCCAAGGGTTAGGAGGGTGGGACGTCCAAAGGACAGGACACCCAGAGGTCCAGAAGGAATAGGGGCTATATCGGACTCCATCCAATGTAGAAACAAACAGAGGTAGACTACTCTAAGGTAGAGTCAGAGAGAACAGGGATTGAACCTAAGTCCAGAAAGAGGGTAAGTGCCAGAAAGGCAAAGCTCCAGCCTAGGGAATCAATCCCTAGGCCTAATGAGTAGGACAGACTTAGGTGGACCAAAGTCTGACAGAGGATTGGGCAAGTAGAGCAAAGTCTAAGATGATATTCAAACTGAGGAACTACAGGAGTATGTACAGGGGTTATATACTGGAGAATATCTGAGGGGATCAGTAAGCAAAGGAGCAAGGCTATGTACAAGCATGTGGAAACACATTAGTAAGTAAGACAGAACATAAGTAAATGAACTCGGAGATGAAGACTCGCACAAGGATCAATAAGCAAGACAGAACAAGAGGTAACTGAAAGCCAGAAAGGCAGAGATGTCTAAATGGGGATAGGCGCAGGATATCAGACAGAGGACAGGAATACATCCAGAGATAGTTATGGTTGATATCCAGAGATCTGAGGATCCAGAAGGTGAGGTGGAGTCTGGATGTCTTGCTGGATGAAGTGTGCATAGGGTGGACAGGATAGGGTGGTACATATCAGGCTAGCAGTGAGGATCCAGAGGTCCAGAGCTCAGGGGTAAATCCAGAGCAGAGTTGATCCTACTGAGGTGTGGAGCACACAGCAGAAGGGGATCTGGCAATGAGTCAGATATAGGGTCCAGACATAGGCTCAGAAGGTGTGGGAATATTATGGAATGTGAGTTCAGATTGTGGGATATGACAGTCAGCTGCAAATGGGTCTATTGCATCAAGTACAATGCTGATGGTAAAATCAACAAGTATAAGGCACATCTTGTTGCTAAAGGCTACTCACAGGTTTATGGTGTCAATTAGTACAACTTTGCTGATAACAAATATGTCTCCATTCCAATGGACCCCAACATTCAGTTATCTCACAGCCAATCCCCAAAGACACCTGCTGAAGTTGCCAAGATGAAGAACGTACCTTATGTTAAGAACCATGCTCAAAGGAGAGAGACTGACTCAGAGGGGCTTGGCCTCAGCTCATATGCTGTGCCCCTTACCCAAGTATGTGCCCTTCATTTCAGAGGAAGTCTGATGATGGTCTGATGAAGTCCAGAGGACTTCTGGAGGCTGGCTACTCTGGTGGAGAGTGCTAGAGGACTTCTGGAGGAGCGCAGGAAACGTCCAGAGGAGTGCGGGAGAGTTCTGGAGGAATGCAGGAAGTGCTCAGGAGAGTTCCCACTGCAAGGTAGTACTTCTACAGGAAATAGGATGGAAGGGTAGGATGTCTGGAGGTCCAGAAGTATGGAGGACAGGAGGACAGGATGTCCAGAGGTATGGAGGACAGGAGGACAGGAGGACTGAAGGTCTGGAGGACAGGATGTCTGAGGGTTAGGAGGACGGGACGTCTGAAGGTACAGAGGGTGGAACATCCGAAGGACAGGATGCCCAGAGGTGCACAGGACAGGAGATCCAGAGGTCCGGAGGGAATAGGGGCTACATCAGATGAAGTCCAATGTAGAAGCAAACAGAGGTAGACTACCCTTAGGTAGAGTCAGAGAGACAGGAAGTGGACCTAAGTCCAGAAAGAGGGTAAGTGCTGGAAAGGCAAGACTCTAGCCTAGGGAAGCAATCCCTAGACTTGGGACAGAGACATAGGGGACAAATCCGAAGGTCCAGAATTCCAGCCTAGGGAATCCATCCCTAGGCCTTATGGAAAAGGACAAACTCAGATGGACTGAAGTCCAGAAGATGATTGGGCAGATCTAAGGTGATGAACAGGATCTAAGGTGATGAACAGGATCTAAGATGATATTCAGACTGAGGACTCTACTGTAGTTGTACAGGGGTTATATACTAGAGGCTATCTGAGAGGATCAGTAAGCAAAGGAGTAAGGCTATGTACAAGCGTGCAGAAACACATTGGTAAGTAAGACAGAACATAAGTAAATGAACTCGGAGATGAAACTAGTACAAGGATCAATCAGCAAGACAGAAACAGAGATAACCAAGAACCAGAAAGGCAGAGATGCCTAAATGGGGATATGCGCAGGATCTTGGACAGAGGGTGGGAATGGTCTGGAGATAGTACAGTTAATATCCAGAGGTCCAGAGATCTGGGGATCTGGAAGGCAGGGCAGAAACAGGACTGAGATATGTGAGGTGGTGGATGTAGTCCAGAATCCGAGAGGAGGTAAAGTCCAGATGTCTTGCTGGATGGAATGTGCATAGGGTGGACAGGATAGGGGATCCAGGAATGAGTCAGATATGGGGTCTGGAAATAGGTCCGGAAAGCGTGGGAATATGATGGGATCTATATCTGGCATATGGGATATGACACCTTATCATGAAGCTGTTGGCTCACTCATGCACTTAGCTGTGGGTACAGTGGCTCAAAAAAGTGTCTGAATGTTTATGCATTTTCAAGTAATTGGAAAATAGCAAGCTAGCACCTGAGTACAATATAAAGGCATAGGGACAAATCTAAAGGCTTGACATCAGAGCTACAATCTGAGATATATATTGTGGGAACTAGACCATATATGTGCAAGATATGGTAATTCTAATCACATGACTCATTTGGACACTTTTTTTGACTTTATATCCAAATCACAAAATCTAACCATTCACAAATATTATTCTTAATAGAAGTGGTGCAATAATCAATATTTGGTCTTATTTTAATATTATTTATATATGTGAACCCACATAACATCATGAACTTTAACATAATCATCATACAGCCATCTCCTTTGCTCCTCTAGTTTGTCTATGAGGCAAATTGCTTCCAAAACTGGTCCTAGCAAGTCTAATATTGCTATAGTTATGCTGGCAATGATAGAACATTGATCTCATGAGCTTTGAGGTATGCTTGGAGTCATTATCCAGTTGGAAGATAATGTCTTCTTCATCAATTCCTGACTTCTGCATGCTTCTGAGTAGACACTCCTCTAGAATGGAGATTTACTGCTCTACATTCATGCCTCCTTCCACCTCACAAAGAATCACCACACAATTCCATCTACTACAACCCCTACCATCATACTTCATCTTCCAAACTTTAGTATATTCTTGACTTCACTTTCCTCTAATGGTTCCCCTACCTTTTTTGACACATATTCCAGGCCATCTGACCCCATTCTATTGATTTTTATCTCATATGACCAAACTACCTTCTTCCAGTCTTCCATAGTCCAATGTTGGTGCTTTAATGCAAAGGCCCCTATAGGCTGCTGAAAGAAGAGGCATTTTCTTCTTGGTTACAGCTGTAAGATTGGCTGCCTTAAGGGTGTTTTTGACTGTTTGAGTGGGAATGGGAGTGGGGATAATGGAATTGATGAACTTGGTGGCATGGACAACATTTGAAGCCTTGCCAGATAGACTTTAACAAACAATAGCTCTCTTATGCTGTAGAGTAAGCTTGAAAGACCATCCCATTTTATGATTTTCCTTCTCTAGCATGTTCTGGTTTATGATTATAGCAATATTAGACTTGCTAGGACCAGTTTTGGAAGCAATTTGCCTCATAGACAAACTAGAGGAGCAAAGGAGATGGCTGTATGATGATTATGTTAAAGTTCATGATGTTATGTGGGTTCACATATATAAATAATATTAAAATAAGACCAAATATTGATTATTGCACCACTTCTATTAAGAATAATATTTGTGAATGGTTAGATTTTGTGATTTGGATATAAAGTCAAAAAAAGTGTCCAAATGAGTCATGTGATTAGAATTACCATATCTTGCACATATATGGTCTAGTTCCCACAATATATATCTCAGATTGTAGCTCTGATGTCAAGCCTTTAGACTTGTCCCTATGCCTTTATATTGTACTCAGGTGCTAGCTTGCTATTTTCCAATTACTTGAAAATGCATAAACATTCAGACACTTTTTTGAGCCACTGTCATATCCCACAATCTGGACCCACATTCCATCATATCCCCACGCCTTCCGAGCCTACATCCAGACCCCACATCATATCCAGCTCATTCCAAGATCCCCTTCCGCTGTGCTCCACACCTCAGCAGGATCAACTATGCTCCGGATTTACCCCTGAGCTCTGGACCATCAGATCCTCACTGCTAGCCTGATCCGTAC